TTCTCCAAACATTTTTCGATCGTCTTTTATCAGATGAAATCAACAAGCACGTACCAAATGATCTGGCTTGATATCACACAAATATCTTTGTGTAATATAATAATGACAACCGATATGTTTCAGTGTGTAATCAAAAATGTTTTTATTATGAACAATTGAAATAAGCTTGATATTTATTAAGTGCTTATATAGATGAAGTGCAATACGCATTCACAGTTTTTACGTATCATAGTATTACAATCAAAATGTTATTTTGCAAACGTACATCTTTCACATTCTTCACGTTCGAAACATGAATTATAATTGAGGCGCCTTGTAAAAGAATCAGCAAATAACTCGCCAGCAGCTTGAACCGATTGAATATTGCTGCCCAGTCCATCAACTAATTGAATAATCCAGTAATTGAAAATATCACAAATTGAAATAAAAAAAATGATTACTTACGCAATTTAGTAACTGTGGGAACTGGTATTGTGCATTCTCCACCTGCAGAATATTTACAAAAAACGTCCATCAAAATATGTTGTACTTTTTAGATTTTTTATAGATTTGAAATTCAATAATTCAAATAAATTTGGAAACAAAGTGAATATTGAATTATTTAATTTTATGCCATAGGCTGTAATTTCAGTAAATATCTATTAATAGTGTATGAAATATCTTATTGTGCCATACCGTCATGTTTAACGCCACCTGGGAGTGGGACTTCTTCTGGGGCAGCTGGGACTGGGACTGGTGGCATATCTGAGGCACCTGGGACTAGTGGGACTGGGAGTGATGGATCTTTTGTTGTAATTTTTTTTAGATTAGATAGTTTTTTCTTAAAGGGGAAAATTTAAAATATAGTTAGAAATATACCCGGAGAAGCGACGCAAACTCCGACGGTCAGAAGTGCAACGAATAATAAGAATTTCATTTTGATTTCGAATTTGACTGTTTCAACTGAATGATTCAAGTGAAATTGAATTTTTTTCGAAAGCGAAAACCATATGCAGATATGGTGCTGATGAATGATGTAGCTCAAAAATAAACAAATGTGTTTCAAAATTAAACAATTTCGGAAATAGAATTTTGTCTGTACAAATAATCTGTGCGTAAATTGGTTTTTGTTTATTTCCATGCGTGGAGGAGAGGCACAATAACTTGGAAAAAAACATTTGTTCAAATAAAATCTCAAATTCATTGCATCCGTACAAAAATTCACACTTTTGGCGATTTTATCTTTCCACAGAGAGAGAGAGATAGAGAGACACACACACACATCATATATTTTGAATTATTTATACGTCAATAGTCTAGAATTTGGTAGTTATTAAATTAGTACTGCAATACCAGTGTATGTTCAACATCTTTCGGGAAATAAATATTCGTTCGCTAAAGAAAGAAATTTGGAAACAGTGCGGAAAAGTTAGACTTACGGATGTAAGTTCCTTTTTATTTGAGACGTGCAAGCTTCAGAATTAAAGTTTCGATGCATTTTATTATACCAGTTTATTTATATATTTATTTGCATTTATTTTCTCCTTTTACGTCATATTATTAAAATATAATCTGTTTGATGGTAAACCCATCTACGTACATTTGTTTAAGTTAATTTTTTCGAATATCTTTTTTGCGTCATTGCGTGCAGTTTGCGCTATATTTTCGTGAAATGTCGTAAAATATATACGAATTGTTTGAGATCATGACTGGTGAAATACCAAACAAGAATGCTCTCATGTAATTTACGACAGTCATAAAACCTTTTTTTTTTTGATTATTTATTTTGATAAGAAAATAATATTCACAAGGTTTCACGGTAATTTAAGTTACTGCAACCATACATAGACCATAATTTCAGTTTATTCCCAAAATTTCGGTTCCATGCGGAAAAGTCAGCTTGCGTACGTAAGCCTTTTTATTTT